ACTTACAGTGACCCCTGGTGGGCTTTTCATGACAACAGATGTTCAGAGGTGGTTTGCCTTTGCCTGCCTCTGGGTGCGGTCAGATGGCCTGCCGGGAGCAGTTTAAACTGCTCTGATTCCAACTGGACCAATTTGATCTGAGGCAAGCGTGGTCACACTCACCCCCTCACTACGCAACACATCGCTCCTGGGTGCCCACACTAGGTGCGCAGTAGCGCGCGATAGCGGTTTTTTAAATTATTATAATTTTACATTTTGCGTGTGTGCATAGGCAGCCATCCACAGAATTGAGATCTTTGTGCAGGCGCAGAACACCCTGTCCCGAAAAGCATGCCCTGAAGGAACACTGCCCTTTAAACTTTTACAGCGAAAAGGGCCTCCGTGAGGTCCCGGACTCGTCCGAAGCCTTAAACTAATCACCTTTTTTTGGGGGGGGGGGTTATTAACACTGGGGTGAAGCTTCACCCAAGCGCATATCGCTGAAGCTAAAAAAAATGACGGGCGAAAAGCGGAAGCCTCAGGCTTCCCAGTGGAAGTGGCTCTACACCGGCGGAGAGCGATCACACAGGGAAAATGTGGCTGAAACCAGAGCCCTCGGGAAAACACCACTTGGGGACCTAGTGGCAAACTACACCGGTTTAAGGGGTGTTTGTGACGATTGGCAATGGTTAGGGATGGAAGGCAGATGTTGTACATGTGATCACGCATAAGTACTCCGTTTCTAACTGGCTTCTATACTGGCTTAAATGCCCCATCTGAACGCAACCTCTGTGTAGCAACCTGTCAGACTCCTGGACAGAGTTACTCTCAACAACACTCTTTTGTAGGCTGCTCTGAGACTCTGAGTGAAGGGCAGGATATAAATCAAATCTCCTCCTCCTCCTCCTCCTTCTTCTTGATTTGGTTATTAAGAAATAATCATGTTCCAGCTTAGATCAGTACCCTGTCAGAACTGAGGTTCTGGCGGGAGAATCCAAAGATATAGACAGTTCAAACAAGGGCCCCCCTTTGGTTACATCCAATCACACGTCCCAGTCATCCCACCTAGCTGTCGCGTGCACGACACCCCCACCTGTGAAATTCGGTTAACTTTATCTATGATAGCAAAGCAGGCACAGTTTGGCTCCAAGGTCAAGCTGGCACTAGGGAGGTATCTTAAGAAGAGTTACAACTGCCACCACGACAGAGCAGTTCACACACTCACACCCCTCCCTTAGGAATTTCCCTCCCTCTGCAGGCCCCACATCCCCCAAACATGGCAAACTAGAGACTGAGTCTGACACAACCCTAGACTTCCATGGTGGTCTCCCATCCAAGTATTAACCAGGGCCGACCCGGCCTAGCTTCCCCGATCTGACTTGATCAGGCCAGCCTGGCCTATCAGAACACAAAGCCGTTCCCTCGATGCCGAACTCTGCCTTTCAGAACTAAAAGCCTGCATTTTGCTCTCTCTCTTTTAGTTCTCCCAGAAAAAAAAAAAACAACAACGGCAGGGCAATTGACTCAGTTACCTCGGACCACCTTTGCCTTTGCCTAAGTTCTGTAAACACAGCCCTTGTTTAGAAGATTCCCAGACTCCCCCATGTGGATAGCTGGGAAATGCATCTCCAAAGCCATCACAAGGAAGAGCTCTCCCGGCAGTCATTATCCCTAATGAGCTCAATCCCTACCTTCTGAGATCCGCCACCATCCCTCTCCCCTCTCCTTCCTCCCATTAGCCGCAGAGCATTTGTTTGAGGAGACTCATTACCTGGGACGGCTCTTGCAAGCCGGAGGTCCCTCTGCTCCTTGGGCCACCTCTGATGTCAATCTCTTGGGAGAGAGGGCTTCCCCCACCCCTATCCGGTGGACTCCCCTTTAACACCCACCTGCTAGAAAAGAGGACCGGTCTTTCCTTTAATGGTAATAAACACAGTTACACCTTGAAGATCTCCCTCATCTTGTTCGGGCCACGTCACTCTCCATGTGCCTTTCTGGTTCTCTCCGTTTCTATTTCTGTCTCCTATTTCTGGCTTTGTAGGTCAGAATGGCGATGTGACTCTGGCCAGGTCAGCACAGGGCATCCTCCTTGTGGGCCATGGACCCAGCAGTGAAGGCCGAGGGTCTACTAAGCCTAAGGACCCTTCCCTGGGAGGAAGCCCCACTGAGTCAGTTCCTGCATAGGGTTGCTCTATTTATTTGTTTGTTTGTTTGGTAGATTTTTACCCTGCCCTCCCGGCCAGGCCGGCCTTAAACAACAATATGAAACAATATAGTATGGCAATACGGTACAAAATATAAAATCCATCAATACACCAATGCTTAAAACCATAACTATAACACCATGATAAAGAGCTAGTACTTAATTCTTCATCATACAGTCAGCTCCTTGATCTTCCTAAGGTGCCCAAGGTGATCAGGTTGGGGGGGGGGTAGTAGGGGGATCCAGGAGGATCAGGCTCTCTCTTCATAGGCTATCAGGTGTAGTGGTGGCCGGTGTTCCCTCTAAGCTGAGTTAGTGTGAGCTAGCTCACAGTTTTTTTAGCCTCCGGCTCACGCATTTTTGTCTCACCTCAGGAAGGATGGCTCCAGAGCAAACTAATTTATGCAGCAGCCAAATTGCTCGCTCACAACTTTAATGCCAGTAGCTCACAAAGTGGAATTTTTGCTCACAGGACTCCACAGTTTGGAGGGAACATTGGCTGGTGGCGGCTCCAAAGGCCTGGCGGAAGAGCTCCGTTTTACAGGCCCTGTGGAACTGCAGCATCCCTATAGAGAAATGAGGTTTCTTCTTTCCAGCCAGTTGGTTTGGGCGGCTGGGAGGTGTTTGGTGTCCTCCACTATTATGTCAGGTATTCTCATAATTGATATGGCTTTATTAAAACTAACAAGTCCCGACAAAGGAAAGGCAGTGACCCAGACAGTTACACCTTTAAGAAGTGTAGTAATTAATAATTTTATCACTCCTAGCACCGCTGCGGAAATAAAGATAATGCCTTATTTCTACCGAGCTTCTCAAGAATGTATCGCTTTGGCAAATTGTTTGACTCCAAAGTGTACAAGGGAAGCTTTTTTTCGTGACCCCCCCCCCCCGCTTCTTGTACGACCCACATTGACAGTTCCCACGGGTGTATGTGTGGGGGGGGGTGGAGGCGATTCTCTAGTTTGAGTCTCTAGCCCGGAGTTTGTTTGTCCCCCCCCCCCCGACGCGGCGCGGAGTCTGCGCCGCGCTCTGCTTTAACCAATTAAGCCATCTTCGGGTTAGAGAAAGAAATAAAAGTCTCCGTAAATCCATTGAAGAAGGAAAGGTCCCCAGGCTTTCCGTTGGCTGCTATTGATCCCTTTAAGTGCCTGCTAATGAGACCCGTTTATACCCAATAAAGTACGCTTAACGGGAGCGGCGAAGACGGATGGAGTGCCGGCGAGGGAGGCGCCCCCTCCCCCAGGCAAACCCGGGCGGGAGCGGCGGGGCGGGGGGCAAAGGGTTAAAGCGCCGGCGCGCCCCCCCCAAAAAAGCGGGGAAACGGAGGAAGCCCCGGGATCCATTCCTCCAGGAAGAAGTCCCGGGGATCTTAGCGCGCCTAGAAGCCACCGCTCTGCCCCCCCCCCCACGGAACTGTGCCTGTGGTTGCAGTTAGGGGAAAGGAACTCTGCGTACGCTCAGAGGATCCCTCTGTTCTACGGCTCTATGTTCAAAGGTGGCATTCTAGCAAAGAAGTCAGCAGGAGGAGATTGGGGGTTAAGTTTAGGGAGGCAATGGGCGGTTTTGTGGGTCGGCCTTGGCTCCTGGAAGAGGCCCAGCGGAGCCCTGCGGGGCCAGACCCTCAGTTCCCCGCCCTGTTCCTGACCGTGCCGGCCAAGGCCTGGAGCACGAAGGCTCCCTCCCCCCGGTCGTCTCTCCCCTGAGGTTTCAAGGTATACAGCTCCTGAACATGGAGGTTCCGCTTAGCCTCGGCGGCCAATCCACGGCGCAGCCCGTGCCGGCGGCGGACCCGGTCCTGCCCGCTCTCGGACCGCCTCCCACCGATAAAACTGCTCTCGGATCCCAAGCAGACGTCCATTACACCGCAGCCCCCGGCGAGGCATTGGCAGGATCGATCCGGCGGGTGCGGGGGGGGCGGTTTGGGGAGTGCGAGAAAGAGGCCAGCAGCTGCGAATGTCACATGCTGGGGAAAGGGGATTCGCTGCAGCTGACGGGGAGGCTTCCCTCCGCCAGCCAGTCAGGGGAAAACTCTCCCCTACCTCGCTGGTATTTTTTTTTTTTGTTATTCCCCCCCCCCCCGCCCTTTTACCTGGGTCAGCAGTAGCAGCCGCCGCCGCCGCGCTTGAAGCCGGGGATGCCCTCTCCTCCTCCCCTCCGCGCGTCGCCCACTCCAGAGCAGGGCTGGTGCCAAGAGTGAGGACCGGGGAGGGGGATGCTTTTTTAGGAGCGTGGAAGAGGTGGGGGGGGGCGAGAGAGGCGGCGTGCGACAGATGCCCTCCTCCTCCGACAGCTCCCGGGCTCAGCCTAGTGGCTCCCTGCCATTGGCTCCGTGCAGCCGAGCGGCAAGGCTGCGCGCTATAACAGCACCATGCCTGTGAGAGGCGGCCGCTCAGACGCCGCCTGCAAAGCCGCCGAGAAGATGCCGAGCCGGCCCGGGCTTCCGCTCCGCCTCCTCCGCCGCCCGCTGCCGCTGCCAGCTAGGCGCTGAGCCCGCCCGGAGCCGGAGACGGCGGTCGATGCCTGCCGGCTCCTGCCATTGCTAAGCGCGCCCGCCCCTGCCTCTTCTCTCGCTTTGCGGCAAGGAGGCAGACTTGGACTGCTGCCGCCGCCGCCGCCGCTTCTCCGCCGCCGCCATCCGCCGGAGTTGGGAGAGGTCCGCCGGAGGGAGAGCGGTCCATGCCTCGGGGCTCCCGCCGGGCCGCCGCCGCCTCGCCAGCCTCGGAGCGTCCCGCCTGCCGCCTCCCCAGCCCGGCTGCTCTGGCGCCCGCGGGTGGGTGCATGGGCAGGGCTGCCGCCGCCGGGCCGGGTCGGCTGCCCCATGGAGTGTTACTACATCGTCATCAGCTCGGCGCACCTCAGCAATGGGCACTTTCGCAACATCAAGGGAGTTTTCCGCGGGCCCCTCAGCAAGAACGGCAACAAAACTCTGGTAAGGCGCCCGCCCGCTCGCTCGCCCTGCGCCGCCGACGCCGGGCCGCCGGGTTCAGCACCCCCCGAGCGCTGGACAGCTCCCAGCGGGGCGCTCGGATGGCGAGAGGCTGGCGGCCTCGGCCAGGACAGGTGGTTGGCTGGAGCCGCTCTGTCTAGAGGGGAGAGCAGGAGGCCGGCCGGCTGGCCTTGGGCCGGGTCTCCCTGCCTGCTTTGTTCAGTAGGGCGACTTCCGCGTATCCTTGGCCAGGACTTGTCAAGTGTGATGGTTCTAGCCTGGTCTGGTTCACTGGGAAGCCCTGTGGGGCGGAGAGGCTTGGCCGTTGACAGGGGCCCGGGCTAAACCGAGTCCTGAGCGGCAGAGGGGCTTGGACTTTTCTGGGCTCCTCACCTCTGCCAAGTTCTCCAGGCACTCTGGATTTAGTTCCAACAGTTGCCATTAAGAGGCCAGCTTCTGGCTGTATGAATGAGGGGCTCATCCAAGAGTGCAAGAAAAGAGAGACTCAATAGTTTGAGGCAATGTTTTTGCGCTTGTTTGCCAAGGATGTCTTAAGTTCGGCGCTGGCTCTCGGTTCGTAAGAGTGGGGTGGCTTAAAGAGGCTTGGCGGTGTGGGGTGATCTTTGCTCAGAATGAGCCAAGGGGTGAGGTAGAACGATTTTTGTACAGTGGGGCTACAGACCAAATTGTGACTGGATCCGGCTGGTGACTCTGTGTTTTCCTTTAGTCTTGGTAGAGCCGGTGAACTCATGGCTTGGTTTGTTATGGCACAAGCAGGGTAGCCGTATTGTCCCGCCTGAGATTTTGTTTCGGTTGGGAAGCTCGATATCCTTGGTTGAGAACTTCTGCTTGGTGAATATCACACGTGCAATGGAGGAAGGCAGGCTACAGATGGTAAGCCTTGCATGGGCTCAGCTAAAAATACTAATGGTTATGTAGAGACACCCCCCCCCAAGTTTCTGAGAAGAGTTTCGAGAGTGACACAAACAAAGAACATTGTCATCTCATCGCTTTCATGTTCTGAAACTTTTCTATAGCAACAGGGGATTGGGATTTTTTTTTAATGGGAGGGATGCCCTCTGTTATCAAAGCGTGTTGTCTGAAAATGCCTGCCTAGCAGTTTTGTGGCTAAACAAAGTTTGAGGCAAGCCGCACAGTAATATTTACAAGTGTGCTAATCGGAACGGGTTGGATGTGGGAACACCGCTGGCACTCATGTTGTTTCAGCGTATTAACCTGTTAAGAAGTTCTCTTTGTACAGTATTACCCTATTCACCCTAACTTTCATCAGACACTATGCACAGTCAGAACCCCAGGGTTGGCACACAAGCACGCATATGGCTGTGGTAAGGAACAAAACTTGTCCAACCACCTCAAGAAAACTGAGGCAAGAGTGACTGGATGAAATACTGCTGAAACTTGCACACGGATCTTAGATATGTGAACTGATATTGGCTCAATTGCATTTTGGTCTCCGGGGCATTCATTACTATGGAAGTGAATGGTTTGAATGGTTGGTAGTTCTCAGAATCTTTGCTAGTAAACACTGTGGTCCTCAATACAGTTCCTTGGGACTGAGTCCCATCGAGGCCAATGGAACCTGTTTCCAAGAAAGTATGCTTTGGATCGCAGTCTATGACAGGTTCATAATGCTGGCTGGCAGATATTGAGGGTTCCACGAGTCTGTATGGAAGTTCTCCAGGACCCTGAATTTGTTGGGAAAGTGGCATAGAAATGGGGGGTTTTCCCTCTCCCCATAAATGTGCTTTGCTCAGATAATTGTGACTTGCAGTGACATCCTAAGAAGAATTACACTCTTCGAAGTTCTTAGAAGTCAGAGAGCCCAGAAGGGTGTAACTCTGCTTAGCAGAATGGAGGATTATTGCTTGAAGCTGATGGACTTCAGACGGCAGCTATAACGTTCTCCTCTGTGAAATAACAAGTGGAATCTCTACAGGCTGTGCAGATTATGTTATAAAGCATGACTCTCTGTCAAGTTTCTTTGTTACGCTCAGCAGGCGTGCATGGAAATTCCAGCTCTCATTCATCTCAATGGGGAACAACCCTTAACGTTTAGAAGAATCTGTACTTGCTTTCCAAGTTCTCCTTTAGAAGGGTACAAAATAACACCCCAGCTTTAAAAGATAGAAACCGTGCCATCCTAAAAAAAGTTATGCCTTTCTAAGCCCTCTGACTTCAATGGACCTAGAAGGGTATAAGCGTGTTTAGGATTGCACTGATAACATCTGATGCTTCGGAGTTGTATTTTGTCAGTGGCAGAATTGGCCTTTGCCTCTGATCTGATTTGGCTTCCTGCATTTTGGGCAAGGTTTTTTTTAAAAGTTAATTTAATGAAAGCCGTCTGGCAGACTTCTTGAAAGGTAATGTAAGAGAAATCTGCTGTAATACTGTGTAATGCTCTCCACAATGAGATGTGTTCCTTTTAAAAAGGAAATGGGAAATCACATTTCACAGAGCCAGTTCAACCTGGATGTAAATTACTTCTTAAAATAATTTCAAGTCGGAAAAGTCTTTCAAGGGAGATCGGGGTGTTCCTCGGAGACACAGGCAATCTGCGTGGTGTCTGGCGTCTTCCCGATATGGAACAGGAAGGATAGACTGCCTTGAAGAAAGAGGGCTGAGGCAGCCAAATGGATCGGCTTAACGAACAGGGAGAGAACTCGGGCTGTCACCTGCGAAAGAAGCCTTGGTCAATTAACCACAATAATTCATTCATCAGTCAGACTTGCTTTTAATTTTACATCACATAGTTGTGAAGAAGTGTTCGTATTTATTTCCTTCCATTTGTATCCCGCCCTCCCTGCAAAGGAGGCTCAGGACGGGTTCCAACCTCTAATAATCTGCTGAGTGCAGATTTACACCATGAAAACAGAATAACAAAATAGACAATGAGATGTGTTCCTTTTAAAAAGGAAATGGGAAATCACATTTCACAGAGCCAGTTCAACCTGGATGTAAATTACTTCTTAAAATAATTTCAAGTCGGAAAAGTCTTTCAAGGGAGATCGGGGTGTTCCTCGGAGACACAGGCAATCTGCGTGGTGTCTGGCGTCTTCCCGATATGGAACAGGAAGGATAGACTGCCTTGAAGAAAGAGGGCTGAGGCAGCCAAATGGATCGGCTTAACGAACAGGGAGAGAACTCGGGCTGTCACCTGTGAAAGAAACCTTGGTCAGTTAACCACGTGACGTTTAATTCATTCACCAGTCAGACTTGCTTTTAATTTTACATCAAATACTTGCGAAGAAGTGTTCGTATTTATTTATTTATTTCATTCCATTTGTATCCCACCCTCCCTGCAAAGGAGGCTCAGGGCGGGTTCCAACCTCCTATAATCTGCTGAGTGCAGATGTACACCATGAAAACAGAATAACAAAATAGATACAATAAATACGATAAAAAAAGTAATGACACTAAATACTTAAGATGAGGCAGCCACCCAGAAGAGGCATTCCCTCGTGCGTCGTGGGGAAGAGGCAGAGTGCCTCTTCCGAAGTGCCAGGTGCCCTTCATGATTTTTTAAACGAATGCTTGTACTAACAATAATTAATATGTAAAACAAACTTTTTTGTCCCCATCATTGGGCACACCTTTTAATCAGTCAGAAGATGTTCCCGGGATTAATCTGGGATGGTGTTTAATAAATGAAAGGTTGCTACCCTAGATAGCACAGGTGTCTGTCTTTTGCTCCGTAAGTTGTGTTGTTCCTCATCCTTGCAACTGACCCAAAGAGTGATTCGTTGACAGCGGCCACTGGAGGTTGTTGTGGAGCACAGTCATCCTGTCACCTCACTATCCTGCTCATCTTCCAAGATGCACAGGAGGATGTCTCTAGTTCCCTGCCTCCTCCATGTTAACATCACATCAGCCCTCTAAGAGGTAGATTAAAAAGGTAAAGGTTCCCTTGCTCGAAAGCCAGTCGAGTCCGACTCTAGGGTTGCGGTGCTCATCTCCATTTCCAAGCCGAAGAGCCAGCGCTGTCCGAAGATGTTTCCGTGGTCATGACTAAACACCAAGGCGCACGGAACGCTGTTATCTTCCCACCAAAGTGGTACCTATTTATCTACTTGCAATTTCTTGCTTTTGAACTGCTAGGTTGGCAGGAGCTGGAACTAGAGATGGGAGCTCACTCCGTCATGCAGCACCCGGGTCTCGAACTGCTGAACTACCAACCTTCCACAGCCTGCAGTGCAGCGTCTTAACCACTTGAGCCACTGCAGCTCCTAAGAGGTAGATTAGGCTGAGACATAATAACTACCGTAAGGCCACCTGGTGGGCTTCCTAGCTGTAGGGAGGTCTGAACCCAGGTTTTCCTAGTCTGATTGCGACACCACATGTTCGGAGTACATGGTTACTTTGGTGGAACGGATGGTGTTGATTACGTTTTGGCTTGACTTTTCCCTAATGAGTTAAGGGTGGCTCTGTGGTAGAGCATCTGCTTGGAATGCAGAAGGTCCCCGGTTCAATTCCCGACATCTCCAGTTAAAAGGACCAGGCAGGAGGTGATGTGAAAGATCTCTTCTCGAGACTCCGGAGAAGACTACTAGTCTGAGTTGATGATAACTCACCTTAATGGACCATTGGTCTGATTCAGTATAAGGTAGCTTCCTATGTTCAAAAGTGCCATTCCACCCCCCTCCCCCCTAAAAAGCTTATAGAAAAAACTAAATCAAACCTGGCTAATGCAGAAATGAAGCTTGATACATTTTGTTGGTGATACTGTGATACATTTTTGGTGATATGTGGGATTAAGCATGGCATATCTGTTCTGCTTTCCAAGAAGTGGTCTGCAGAAATCAAAGCAGAAAAAAAATAATTTAGGGAGAGACCTTATTTCTGCTCCTTGTAGAGTTTATTTTTACACTGGAGCAATGTTTCCCTTTAGCCAACAGGGGCCGCTGCTGAGCAGTTAATCCCCCTGCCTTCTGCTCTCTTCTCCTTTATACTCTTAACTTGTTTTTGCTGAGCAGGGTGTTCTTTAG